GGTACCTGCAGAACTTCTCATCTGACTTCTGCATCTTTCACTGTACTCTGAAGAAGCAGCACAGCTAAGAACTACTCCTGCCAGGGCATCGCTTGCAAGGACTATGTGCAATTTTAATGAAGGCCCCTAAACCTAATGGTGGTAATAAATGATGGTGCTATTGCTGAGGATATGCAAAGGATCTGGTTTGGTTCTTAAGATTTCAGACCAAGTTCACCCAACATGAAAGATGGGAAAAAAAGTTACCCAACAGCATTAAGCTGAGACAAGTCTCAAATTCTAAGGCTCTGAATGAGGCAGAGAGCTGCTAAGCCATTTCAGAATTAATCAGAATTTAGTAGAAGAAGAAGAAGATTTAGTAGAAGAGAAGAATTAGTAGAAGAACAAGCACTGTTAGTGGGTATCGTGGTAATACATTTTATTATTCTTCGTTGGTAAATATTAGTATGTGCCATAATTGTGCTGATGGATGGTAAATAGCTCAAGATCCTAAAGGTTAATGATATTTAAATTCCAGAAGTGTAAGCACTTATTCATGCAATTTACACAGACAGCATTTGCTCGGAGTACCTATACCTTCAAGCAGGCAGCTCTTTTTAAAACAATAACAAACATTGCTGATTAGTGAAGAAAAGCTAGGTTAGGAAGGTCCACCACTTCAAGAAGCCTGAGTGCATGGCCAGTGCTGCAGAAACATGGGACCACAGCCTGCTGAGGAGCTATGGCCACTTCACAGCCAGTGAGGGTCAGTTCCTGGATCTGCTCCTGGCTCAGCCAGTGAATATCTCTGTGCCTACAAGGGACTGCTCCATCTCTTTGCGTCTCTCTGGCTGCCTCCAGTGCAGGCAGATGGTGACACCCAGCCTTCTTTGGGATCTGCAGATAGAAACTGCCAACAGAATTAAGGGTAAAGACAAACAAATGGATGTTAACCCAAGAGTTTGTATAGTTCATTTTGAAAGCCTTTCTAGGACTCTTCTGCTATCCCATGCCCTCAAGATGTAGCAAACAAGGAAACTTTGCTTTGGTTACCATCCGTTGCAACAAAGATTTCTTGCTCCCTGCCCTACCCACGCTTTCAGCTGGCTCTTTGTAAACCCACCACCATCCCACCCAAATCCCCACATGCCGAATTGCTTTACAGTTCCCGTTCCACTTGTTCTGCTCACAATCTTCTCCTTGTCTGGCTCCCCAGGTAGCTGACTTTAACATGACTGCCCAGCTGCTCTGCAGCCTCCCTGCGCCCCAGATTTCCGCTGCTCTTTTCAGGGCCCCTGTAGAAGGCCCGGCTCACAGATGCACTATACAGGCCAAACAACAGGATGTTGTAAAGGTCCAACCACTGTGTGCTTTTCATATGGATATGCTAATGGCCGTACTAACAGCACAGGGCTGTAAATGCAAATAGCAGAGCTCAGCTTGGGCATCTTTTATGGGTGTTTAACCACCTTCTGTCTTATAAGGGACCAACTCCCTATTATTTGGAAGATAAAAAGCGAATAGCTCACCTCATGCCAATGCTGTATAAATCAATTAAGACAATAAGAGTGCAGTATAGAGGTGCTGTTAAGGCTGGCTCCAACAGAAGGCTTTAAGTCACTGATGGCTTTCTCATCTGCCCCAAATGGCAGCCAGTATCTGCCAGCTATCTGCAGAGAGGTGTGTTTCATTCAACTCCATTACAACTCATTTACAACAAATGCATGCCACAGCAAACTAAGCAGCCAGGAAATGTGGTGGGTTAAAAGTTTCAAAGGGCCAAATGATCCTAACAACACGTTTTTGGATTGTCTGGTCACGTACCTCTCCAATATCCTCACCTGAAATGAACTAGAGCAGTCCCTGCTGGGTTTCTGTGTGTTTTGGCACCCTGGGTTCTGGGTTAAAACAGTGGTGCCAGTGCCCTTTGCCACACAGATACCTGTCTGCCATGGTTTGGCCAAGCATCTGAAGGATCCAGATCCACCTTAGTGCTACTTGAGAACAGAAGGACGTGCGCTCTGTACAACAAATACTTCCATGGTTCATTCCTTTGCTCCCTATTCACCCATTTCCATCCAGTGCATACTGAATTATTTCATTGGTAAAAATTGCATGTGCGTTAGGAATAAAACACTCTCTGTTGTCATCACAAGTAATACCAGCTTAGACAGTGAGCCATTCCTTGGGTGAATCTCTAAAGTACAGACAATTGTGTTACTGAATGTCATCCTGGTCAGGGCATTTCAGAGCCCATCAGCTTCTTTGGTGTTTTTTTCACTCCATCTGACTGTACTGAAAGCTAAAACCAAAAACAAATGAGAAACCCGACTCCCTGCAGCCATCATAAACATAAGGCAGACTGAATTCTGCTGGCAAAAATTACACTGCTACTCTCTGAAATGCTAACTGAAATAACTGCACAGCAGAATTTTGCTGAAAACAAGAAAAATCACGCAGCAAATACAGGTTTAGAGGAGCTGAAATGATTTCAGTCATATGAAAACAACAGCAAATGAAAATATTTACTTGTGTTTTTTATTGTTGTGTAGTATACATCGTTACATGAAGTTAATTGCTGTAATGGTGTGGGAGATGATGCAGGAAGACAACAGGTCAGCCACCACTTTGGGAGAGTTCATATCCACGGTATGAATCATTGGCAGAATGGTGTTTGAGAATCATAGTGGACTTGTGAAATACATAAATGTGCTGAGAAATTTTAGATACATCTCTTTGCAAAAGATTGTATCAAAGAGAACTAGTTATAAAGTTCCTAGCTGTCTGCACTTACGACTTCTTAATTGGTACAAAAATGAATTAATTAGAAAAGAGCCACTTTTTGCTTTTCCATCTGCATGGAACCACCGAGCTGTATTGTGACACAGACACTGATATTAATGATCAACTCGTAATAGGATAATGAATGAATAAGGATTTTATGTGGTGTGAGCTACAACAATTACCAACCTAATAGGGAGATAAATAAGGCTACTCAACTTTACCCACAGAAAATGATCATTCTTACCCACTTGCACTGAATGACCTGACCAAAACATGCTTTTTCTTTTTGCTTCCTGATGCCTTTCAGTGGTCATTTGTGTTGTCTCCAACTGCCACAGACAGAACCTCTTGTTGACACATCTAGCAGACCAGGTATACCAACACTTGCCTCCCTGTTCCTAGCACACTCCTTAAGAAGTAAGTGTGGTGCTTGGATCTAGGTGCCTCCACGCAGGGCAGTGGGCAAAGTGCTGCACACAGAGGCACCACACTGTCCCCAACCTGAACCCCAACCCTTCTCAACACATCCTGTCCAATTCAGCATCTCCAAACCCTCCTTAAAGATGCCCTGAAGCCCCCTCTGCATCAGGTCAAATTAGCTGCTGAGATGCAGAAATGCCTAACGAGAAACAGGGGCCCAGATACTTCCAGCATTTCAAGAGAAAGACAGTCATATCTTGTATTTAGCCCAAGGCCAGAGCTTTCGTGTTGTTTCAGCAGCGCATTTCTGGCATTGCCGTAAGTTAAATTGCAGTGTATGTTGCCTCCATATGGGAGGTTTCAGCAAATGCAGTGACACAGTTATTAAATAACAGTCTGCAACCTGATGGAAAATAAAGTTTAAAAACCTAGGGGAAACAAACAATATGTCAAAAACATCTGGGGAACTGTGATGCAGATATTATTAATATGTCCTGGTTTATAAGGAAATGATCTGCTTGCAGACAGTAATTATATGGTTGTTGCTATTTATGTTTACTATGGCCATGCCTGAATGCCTCAGCTACGATCAGGGCTACCCTGCACAAACTCAGCATAAGAGAGAAGCCCCTGAAGCACTTAAAGTCTAAAGAAACAAAGGAATAAATCCCCCCATTCACCAAAGGGGCAACAAGCCACAGGAGAACAAAATCATTTTGTCATAGCCATGCAAAAAAATTCTGGCAGAAGGCATCAAGCAGTTTCTCCTCAAGATAAAGGAGCCTACAGATGATACAGAAAATAAAGTAAAATTATTCTGCGGCTCTGACGGCAGGCATGTGTGTCCTTCCTCTTTCTGAGCAGAACACCTGGCTTTTTTGACCATCTCCTGCAGCCACCAGAGAGGTAATGGAGTCAAGCTGCAACAAGGGAGGTTCAGCTTGGTTGTTAGGAACAATTTATTCTCTGAAAGAGCAGTGATGCAGTGGCACAGCTGCCCAGTATTAGGGTCACTGTCCCTGGAGGTGTTCCAGAGTCATGGGGATGTGGCACTGAGGAACATGGGCAGTGATCATGGTGCGGTGGGCTGGGGTTGGGGATTTTAGTGGTTTTATCCAACTTTAATGATTCTATGATTCTTCCTCCTGGGGAATTGACAGAGAAGCTGGGAGCCCAGGCAAAGTAATCAGAAAATGCCAGTCAAGGAGATGTGACAGAGTGCCGTCGCAGGAAGGTGATAGGGTGTCTTATCCTGGAAGATGGAGAGCAGGAGCTGCTCCTTCATGGGCAAACTGACTGTCAGCCACAGCTTCAGCAGGGAAATAATGTCATCAGGAGGATTTGGGTGAGATGAGAAGGGAAGCCAGGGAAGTTTAATTCTGGCAGAGGTCGCACCCAGCAGCACACGCCTCTGCCCTCAGCAAGCAGGCTGCTCTACACCTGAGGAGAAATAAAAGCTTTTATTTTACTGTAATCTTTTCCTCCTAGGGTCTGCTCTGAATCCCAGATCTGCATCCCAAGAACGGAAAAGCGAGGGAACACACTGCAACCTCGTGTACAGCAAACGCAGAGACAATATTTACCTTGAAATAAATAGAGCCCAGTGCCACACCTGCCCCCAGGACACACCGACCAGCTCACCAAGTTAATTAGCTGAACGAGGCCACTACCTGCCCAGCAGCCCTTTGCACGACCTTAGCCCAGCTGAACGCAAAGTGCACGCAGCCCCCCCCCCCCCTCCGGCACCCCCAGCATTCACCTCATTGCGACCCCCCACCCCACGTCGCGCAGGGTCGGGCTGGCAGGGCCTCACGTACCTCCGCACGGCCTCGGCCGAGCCGGCGATGGGCACCCCGCCGCCCTCCCCGCCGCTGTCGTACAGCACCCCGCTGATATCCAGCAACAGCCCCCGCACTGCCCGTGCCCAGGCCGCCATGTCGGCACCGCCTCGCTGCCCCGGGGGCTGTTGGGAAATGGAGTCTGAGCGCGGCGAGGCGGCCTGAAGGGAGCGGGGGATGGATGTTACAAACAGCAGGGAAGAGTGTTGTTTTCTCCGAGTTGCGCTGCTTCTGTCAGCTCTGAGTGTCTCAGACTGTCAGGAGAGCGGCCTGGGCTCTGCTATGGGTCTGCCTGCTGACCCGCTCTGCTTATCCCCCTCATGCAGTTCCTCCTCACGCGTGAGCACAGAGGCACAGAACCCAATAGGTTGGGAGCAATACAGAAAGTTCGCTCTGCTGGCCATGGGCTCCCCAGACGTCTCGGAACATCCATGCAAATAGGAGCATGGACCTGGATCGCAGGGACCCTCTGCGATGGGGATGGCTGTGCTGGCCCAAGGGACCTCTCCAGCCCGGTGATGGATGCGTGGCCTTGCCTGTCCCAAACACCGCCTCTGTGGTACCTCCTCACATGTGCTCCAAGAAAAATAACTGCCTCGTCATGTAAAAAACTGAACAGGTCCCCTCTTTTTTACAGTCAGACAAGATTTTATCAGCAGTGTTGCAGATAGCTCTGGTTTCTCCCTTGATGTTGTCAAAATGCTGCCTTATTGCTAATATTGATAGCAGACTGTGGCTCACAGAACGCATCACAAGCTGCGCTGGAACCACAGTCCACTTTGTTTTAAGGAAAGCAGAGGAGCCTTGGCAGCATTGATTTGCATCGCCGCGTCTGGAACAGCCTTTGGCTTCTCCTTAAAGATATTATCTAAACTGTGAAATTCACTAAATAGACCCAGAAATGGATCAGGTTATTTAAAACAACATCACTAATGGCGCAATATCTCAGCTGTCTACGCTGATAGCGAACATTGTCTCGGATAGTGTTATCAGCCCAGGACACCCGCTATGAATATTGATCCGCAGCTTGTTACAGCCATCACTGCCGACAGGACAGGTCAGGGTTGAAACCCACCCAGCATCAAAGCAATTTAAAGACAGCACTCAGGCTGAATTTTAATGCTTGGGCTGGAAAGCAAACCAACTTCAAACAGACTGCTAAAACCAATCCATGAACGCGTGCTTTTTGTGTGTGCCTTCCATGGGCATGTCTATTTGTAGGTCAGCCTCCATGCACGTGCTAACCTGATCATATTTGAAGATGTCTGCTTGCCCACAAACTAATCCCAGCGCTACAATTTACCTTTTAAGCTTCTGCAGTTGCAATAACTCAGAAATATTTATATTCTCACCATAAATCCGGTCAATTTTTTTCCTTCCAAAAATGAAACATCTCCAGTGCTGCAAAGGCTGACAGGATGCCCCATCCCTGCAGGCATTCAAGGCTAGGCTGGATATGGCTCCGGGCAGCCTGGTCTGGTGGTTGGTGACCCTGCACATAGCAGGGGGTTGGAACCAGATGATCACTGTGGTCCTTTTCAACCCAGGCCATTCTGTGATTCTATGATCCTTAAAATACAGTGAGCAATACATCTATTTACCAGATCATCATACCTGTGGTTTTTCTGGGTACTTTGATACTGGTGACAAACAAAAAGAATCTTGTTCAAAACCATACTTAGAGGATATGCAAGAATATTTCATATTCATTTCCATTATTTGACCTCACCCTGGACCTACACTATCCAGAAATGGGGAACTTTTCCCTTTCCTTTTGCACCTCAGGCAACTTTATCACTTTGACACATGAGAAGCACTGAGCAGCACCCAGCAGAACGATTTCCACCTCAACCCTAGGGTCATTTTTATGCAGGATGCATCCATGAAACTAAGTTTCATTGGTCTGCAGCTTCAGTGCATGAACTGTCCAGGACAGAGATAACTTCTCTTCTGAATGTGTATGGTATCCCATACTAGAGCCCAGTGTCAAACACTCTCTCAGGTACTGCCACCACATAATTGACCAAAGAAATTACTTGTAATCATGTCTCCCTGCACATCTTTATCTCATCTTCCAGCTCCTTATTATCTCAAGACCCGTGCCTTTGCAATAGCAAAAAGAAATCCCAACTCTATCATCTTTATTCCTATTCTGCAGCACCTGTTACCATCGAGCAGCGCGTTATTTTTACCTAGTCAGATTCCCACAGACAGGCAGAGAGTGGGAGCACTCCCTTTCCTGCTGCATAAAGTCTTTGTCTACACCTCACCCTGATGTGCAGCACCAACAAAACGCAGAACTGCTAAGGGGAGGGGACAGCATCCTCCTCAAAATCTGCAGGACAGCACTACGTTGCTAGGAAGTTTTAAATAAAGGTCATAAGAGTGGGGCAGGGTGGAGAGACCTGACTTGCTGTTGCTCATCTTACCCCTGCTATAAGGATAAGAGGTGATGGGGCACTTCCATGCCAGGTGACAGTTCTCAGTCAAGGGCTGCTCGGGGGGGCAGGCGTCCAGCATGGCTGTACCTCAATTTCAATCAATCACCCCCACCTTTGAAATGGGGCCGATGCACACGCCAGGGCTGAACTCCAGGAGTCAGGGCCAGCCCTTGAACTACCCAGACCTTGAGCTGACCTCAAACCAACCGAAAACGCGAAGATGCTAATTTGCGAAGATGCTCATTAAGGACCAAAGCTCAATTTTACACCCAAAACAAAGGCCGCTGGGCAGAGGCAGCGCACCGAGCCCCTGCTCTCCTCACCACAGGGTTCACCCGGGAGCAACCACGCGTGGATCCCCCCGGGCCGCACCGCGGGGCGGCGATGATGGTGGGGGGCGGCGCCGGCTGCGCCCCCGCGGAGCGGAGCGCGGGGAGGGCGCGGGGCCGCGTGCCAATGGCTGCTCTGCCCCCTCCTCTACCCCCACCCCGCCGCCCGCTCTCCTCCTCCCCGCCGCTCACTCCGCGTCTCCAGCGCCCAGGCGGAGGTTCCGCGAGGAGGCGGCGGCGGCGGAGGCTCCGCGGCAGCGCTGCCCTCCGCCCGGCCCCGGCCCCGCGCTGGCACCCGCGGCTCTCCGGCAGCGCGGAGCGGGGGATGCTGGAATGCCCGGACGGTGGGGCCAAGACGGCCCCCGTCCAGCAGCATAAGATCTCCTTCTCCATCCTAGACATCCTGGATCCTCAGAAATTCACCCGGAGAAGCGAAACGGCCGCGGGGAGCGGGGGCAGCGCCTGCCGCTCGGGAGAGCAGGAAAAAAGTTTGGCGAGAGTTGAAGTAGGAAAAGGCGCTGCTCAGCACGAGAGCGAGAGGAATAAACTAGAGGCGGATGGTAGGAACGCGTTCGAGTTTCTCTGTTCGGCGCTGGCGGGGCGAGCAGGTGCCGGCAGCCGGGGAGCATCCCCCGAGTCCGGACAGCTGCGGGGGGGTCGGGCTGCGGACCGCCGTCCGTCGGGAGGGAGGCGAGGCGGGGGGAGAGGGGGATGCAGCCCCTTTCGAGTCTCGAAGATAGAAAAGTCCCCACCGGGCAATCCTCCGGCTGCGCCCCGCGCGCACCACGATGTCGCCAGGCCCCAAATGGAAGCGTCCCTGGGCCACCCTTCCCCGGGCAGGGAGGGGGTCCCGGTCCCGATGCCGATCTACGCCCGCTGTCCGCCGACTGCCCCCCCCCGCACCCGGGACAGCCGGCTGGGTAATTGCTCAGCCCGTCCCCACTGGAGGATGCCTTAGCTCCCATTGATCGATATCCTATTACTGACTCCCGCCTATCTCTTGCCCACAGCTTGCAGGTACCCACTTCAAACCTCCTTCCCCTGGCCTGATCCTAATATTGTTCGATTAAAACTTACCTTTAATAGATGACATCTATCGATCCGGCCCTCGCAAATCTGAAACTCCATTAGCACGGAGATGGGGAGGTGGGGGGAGGGGATTTATTTCGCTTCAGAAGGGGACTTTAATAACTTCTTTTTTAATTGGTAAGAAATCCATATCCACACCTCCCTGTAAATGAGCCGCCGTGGCTGGGGTTGCCGGCCGGATTTCTTTCTCCTTTTATTTAACGACCGTTAAATCTCGGCCCGGGGAGGGACGCGGAGGGAACGGCTCCTCGCAGCGTGGGGCCGGGGGGGCTCGGAGCGGCTCCGCAGTGCCCCCCTGACCCCGCCGCCCTCTCCCATAGATGCGCGCACCCCGGCGGAGAGCGGCGCGGAGGCAGCGGTCGAGGAGGGGCAGCCAGCGGCCGGCGCCGGCTCCTCTTCGTGCTCCACAGCCACGGGGCCGGAGGAGCCGGGCTCGCCGCGAGGCGGCCGACGGCGTCGGGCCGAGGCGAGCTGCGCCAAACCGCGGCGAGCGCGGACGGCTTTCACCTACGAGCAGCTGGTGGCTTTGGAGAACAAATTCCGCGCCACCCGGTACCTGTCGGTGTGCGAACGCCTCAACCTGGCGCTCTCCCTCAGCCTCACCGAGACGCAGGTGAAAATCTGGTTCCAGAACCGTCGCACCAAGTGGAAGAAGCAGCATCCCGGAGCCGACGGAGCGGCCGCCTCCGCTCCCCCCGCTGCCGCCCGCTGCTCCCCCAGCCCGCCGCGCCCCGCAGCGCTGCCCGGCCAGACTTTCCCCTCGTACGCCGCCGCCAGCGCTCTCTTCCCGGCCGCCTCTCCTTTCCCCCTGGGCGGCCCCGGCGGCGGACCCTTCGCTCCCTTCTTGGGGCCGGCGTACCTCGGGCCCTTCTACGCCCCGCACCTCTGAGAGCCCACCCCGGGTCTGTCCCAGCGCTCCCGAGGGTGAGGAATCGGGTTTTTCTTCTCCGGCTCGCTTCGACAGAGACAAAATACCCACATGCTGTAACCACAGGATTTTATTAGCACGTTTGATATGTAATTATAGGCGTTGGAGATGGAGAGAGTAACCCTCTTTACACACGCCTGACTCTAATTCTTCTCCAAGTTTCTCTTTCCAACGTTCCTCGTTGCCATCTGGCTTGCCAGCACACGCCTCAGCCCCAGGGAGCTCGGAGCTGCCACACTTTGTTCCCACTGCTGCTGTCCCGGTGCTGCTGACCACACTCGGCTGGTCCGATTTCCAGGGATGCTCACACA